TGTCACTAAAATGTTTGTACTAAAAACCTTTTTATACTAAAGCAAAAATAGAGCAGTTTCAAACTTTTCATCCTAAAGGATTAAAAATTACTTTTTAAAAGCTTTTTTGAAAAGTGTTGTCACTTAGGTCATAATGACGTTTTAGCCGGCGTCACAAACGGCGATAGGATCAAATTTCAGTGTCCATTAAAATTTCAAGACAAGGTTGATTTTATCTGTGAGCATACAAGACTTCGCGAAAAGAAACCTTATAATTATCTAGATTTAAGATAGTTTCCACCTTGAAACGAGCTTCATTAAAGGATTTCTTCACGCTTGACAACCCTAAGTCAACCTCGATTTAAGGTTTTTATATCGAAGGCTGTTTTCAAGAGTTTTGTATTAGGGCGATGTGTGTAGAATAGAGCAGATTATGCGTAGAACAGAACAGATATCTCGTTTTAAGGTTAGAAGGTTCACACGCAAACCGCATGACAAACCTCTTTAGGTTTACATTAAAAGGTTTTCGATGAGTTAAAATAAACCTTATTTTGCTTTCTGGGATACGTTGATATGTTTATCAAAATAAGACTTTCAATTAATAATAAATTTCTGTCACCTTAGATACCTCAGCTAAGTATCAGCAATGGGATGCAAACTACGGAATGACAGCAGAATTGCGTCTCCCAGAATTTTTCATGAACCATCCAAGAATTGCACCTCCTCCTCCAGGATTTCCTCATCACTTTCCGTCAAAAGGTCGACACCAGCGGAGAAACAAATCAAAACACCCCAGATTCGATTCCTGTTCAATGCACTTCTGTCGCCAGAGTTATCCACACGAGCACATCTTCCAAAATGACTATGGAAATCAGAACTTGGATTTTGGTCCCAAAAAGAATGAAACTGGAATAGATTATTCCTGGAATCCAAAAGGTTGTTCAAGAGGAGCGTACAATTTCAGCCCAAATACGTACCGGTTCCCCACCTATGATTATGCTTCAGCAGGCTGTTACAACGAATGTCCTCCTAAATTGGAAAGTGTTACAAAAATGTCTAGTTTGATTCCAGTTGGAAGGGAAATGAAATCGCCGGCGATCGAGTCACATTACTCCAGGGGTCCACGCGCATCTAAAAATAATAACATGCAAAGAAAAAGAAAACGGCATTTTTCAAGAGAAAGAGTGAACGTTCATGCTGCGAATGAGAGTTCGTCGCATGAAAATAGTACCAATGGTGTTTCCTCAGCTTATGCGTGCAGTTCAAATGCCAACGTTGCTACTGAGGTAAGATATGGTGGTCAAACAACACTTGAAAACTATGACGAAATGTTTCACAACGAAACTCAGTTAGCTGTGACAAATTTGGAATTTTGCCAGAATGATCTCTTGGGGAACTTGGAACAGCCTTGTGAGAACTCTCAAGAAAATCAAATATCTG